TTAATTTGCTTCTATATTTGTGGCATATAGTTGTATTATGTAGTTTGTGTTCTGAGTTCTGCTGGTTGACTCTTGTAAAATTTTTCAATTGGGATTTAAAAAGTAAAAGAAGATAGGAAAAAGAAAAAAGAAAATAACATCAGAATCTTAGTTGAAGTGTGTGCATTTTGAGTTAACATCAAAATCTTAGTTCAAGTGTGTCATTTTTTTATATATCATCTTATGTAGGCTGATTAATTTTATTCCCTGGGACTAAAGCATGGACAAAAGTTCCTGCTTCTGAACGAGAAAAAGAATGAAAAAAAAAATGGATGTCAAACAAGGGCCTATTGTTTTATAAGAACATTAGTAATTGGTGCTCTAATGCATTATTCATATCTTTGAATTCTGAGAATTAATCTTATTGTCTTTTTTTAAGGAAGCTGACTTCAGGAGGATAAGAAATTCTAAAATCCAACAAGACCTGAAAGATATGGAGGCATCACTTCTTCGAGCCAAGGTGAAGGCTTCTCTTGCTGATGGAGTTTCATGGGGAATGCATGAGGATGCTATTGAAGAAAATGAGGTTTGTGTTATCTCCTTCTCCAAAGTTGCTAGGGTAGTGTTGTTTGTACTTTGTCCTATTCTATTACAGTCTTGCTTTTAGATTTGACTTTATAGTAAGTTGAAGAGTCGGAAGATCCAGGGAAAAATTAAAAAAGAACTTTCCCAACAAGATGTGCGGCTGAATACTGAGATATATGATCTAATTCGTTTTTGTGTATTCATAGTATATAAATGAGATAGTTTCAAATGTGGTGAAAACAGTATTAATTGATTTTGAAGGAATTCTTTCACCCATAGTTCCAGACCATTTTTTGTAGCCTAAAATATTCTTGCTAATGCTATAACCTGTGAACGTATTGCCATCATCAACGTTGCATCATTGTACTTCTGGAATATGTTTGCAAGTGCCATAAATGTGATACACACTGTTGTAACATCTCTCAGACACTTAAGACTTTGCTCAATCAAAATGAGACTCAAGATTTTCTGTACTGAAAACATATAAAAATGTTTCTCCGTTCTCATTGTGATCTAGCATAGGTACTATCTATTTCACAAGCTTTTTGCCAAATGTCTCCCAAACATCGTCACGCTCTTTCCCTCCCGTACATAATCCATCTAAAGTTTTTATGTTTCCTGAAAAAATTAAATGATCAAAAGATATTGTAGAATTTGAAGCTGTGTTCAATTATTAGAAACTTACATATAGAATTTTGAGATCTCGGTATTTCTTTGTGTTGGTGGAGAAATGGAAAGTTCAAAATAGGCCTATGCAACATCATAAAAATAGAGTTTCATTCTCTGCAAATCTCATAAGAATGTGCTTCCCTCTGTACTAAACGTGTTTATTTGGCCCAACATTTTCCTCTTGCGATGTAACTTTATTTGATTTTCTTTCGTTTTTGCCGTTTATTTTCTTCTTCGTGTTTAGAGAGTTCAAAATATGTGTCTTTGCATTAATTTTCATGTTATTAGGGTTATTTGTTTAAAATAATTAATC